AAATGCCTTCCAGGCATTAAAGAGGCAGATCTGTCAAGCTCCTGTGTTGCAGAGCCCGGACTTCACAAAACAATTTATTGTGCAAGTTGATGCCTCTGGTGTTGGACTAGGAGCAGTGCTAGCCCAAGGAGAGCCTGGCGAAGAGAAGCCTATACTGTTCCTGAGTAAGAAGTTGTTTGACCGGGAAAAAAAATACTCTACCGTGGAGAAAGAGGGACTGGCTATAAAGTGGGCTATAGATTAATTGAAGTATTACCTTCTTGGAAGAGAGTTTGTGTTGCAGACAGACCACAGACCGTTGAAGTGGATGCAATCTAAGCAGCATCGATTCTACGTTGGTGCCTAGCCCTCCAGCCATACCAGTTCACCATACAGTATTGTCCCGGTAAGAATAACCTAATAGCTGACGATCTTTCTCGTTTGCCTGACCTGTGCAAGCCAGAGGGGGAGGAGGTGTGAAATGTGAGGATGCGCACACACTCCCTCACTAACATTTTGGCTTAACAATTTGTAGAGAACCGCCAATCGGGTCAATTTGACCCAGAGCTGTTTTTTATTGTGTGTAACTTTTTTTCAATAAAATATTAAAGTCTTCCAGTCCGTGACTTTTCCTGAAAGTGTGTTATATAGCACCCTATGTTGTTAAAAATTGTCAATATGAAGTCAGATTGAAGAAATCGCCAAAAAAATTGCCATTTATACCTATTTCCGCTCAGCGGGTCATATTGACCCCACCCCTTTTCATATAAACATGACGTGTTGCTATAGCAACGCCTTTTGTCTACTGCGGTTCCTTATAGATTGAGAGATAGATGGATAGATATATTGATAGATAGTTATAGAGAGAGAGACCTAGAGACAGTCTGTAGTGAAGGAGTGCGCTCCCGCTCACGGGAGACTGCTCGCGCTGCGCTCCGCAGCAAACAGCTGTGGGGCGAGTTGAAAGTACGTTATGCTGGCCGCGGTGTCTAAATAATGCTTCCGGGCCAGCGGGCCATTTATAATGTCGAGCCCTAAGAGTCCACAGATTATATTGGTATACGTTTCATCCCTGTGCGATCAAAACTCACTATTCAATAAAATAACATTTTACCTTAAATCAATGCATTCTAATAGCGGGTCAATTTGACCCAGGTGGCGGTTTTAGGTATAAAAAATCTCTGGCGGTTCTAGTGTTAAGAAAGGTAGTACATGTTTCTTCAGAGTTGTCTATATTTCAGTTAAAGTTATAAAAACAGTTTACATAGAAAAACTAGTAAAGTGCATCTAAATTAATTTGTCAGTCTGTAAAACACACAATCACAAAGTAATCACCATTTCCTTTGTTCAGACCTGGAAGCCATTTTGTGTCATTGCTCAAAGGGGGAGCACGCCTCCAAAGTACTCCTTATATGTGTCGTATGAGTAGGCGGAGTCTTGGACGTGATTGGTCAGGAAATGTGTGATTTTATGAGTGTCAATTAGGTTAAAAACTATCCGTTTTAAGCAGAACTTGTTGTTTTTGAAGGTACAATGTTTATGTTGATGCAATTATGAATTTACTTAAGCCTTTAGGATTGTATTAAATGTAGACCACAGTGTTTAATTTTGTATTTAACCCTTCACTCCGCTTTCAGAACCATGACCTGATTGGCCAGGTTGGATTGGGAAGGCGGGCAGTCTCCTATAAATGTGGTTGGGAAGAGAGGGGAAAGGGGATTTGGTGTTTGTTCCTTGCTGGTGAACGCAGCACCAGGCATGCAGTTTTTGTTTCTGTGGAATAATGTGGAAGGCTAAGAATAAAAAGCCTGTCTATTTTTTGCAAGAAAACCCTCTCTCCACGTATCGTTCTTTCACCTGCACCTCACTTTTTAACAAATATATTTCTGACCTACTGCTAAATTATGAACCATCCAGATCTCTCAGGTCTTCAGGGACTGGTCAGCTTTCTGTCCCCTGAGTCAGAACTAAACATGGAGAAGTTCAGTTATATGCTCCAAATATCTGGAACAAACTACCAGAAACCTGCAGGTCCGTTGCAATTCTTAGAACTTGTATTATTATTCATGTACCATGTGTTATTCATGTTTTATTATCTTTGCTTTTTAATGACAGTTTTTAAATGCAATTTTATATTGTGTTTCCGCTGCACTATTTCTTAATGCTCTTAATTTTTTTCATTATCTTAAAGCACTTTGAATTGCCTTTAGTTGAAAGGTGCTATTGTAGTGATCACTGATTCATACACTGGGGTTACATAATTCAATCCAGGAACTACAGGTTGGGGGTATTGTTTCCGCACGTACAGATATGTTGACGGTACCTCCGGGGTACCTACTGTGTGTTGTCCCTTACACTTTCTCTTGTCATCTCAGCCTGCGACCCGACATGTCGATTTCTGCTCCTCAATAAACTGAGATTTGCACCTTCGATGCACCGCCTCCGTCTCCCTTCTCTTCTGGACCCCGTCTCGCCTCTTCCCTCGCCTCGGCGGTTTCGAACGTCACCCGTGCCTTCATCGGCCTGCGGGTGGCGCGCTTCGGGACCCTGCCTGGCCTCTCCTCTAACCGCGGCTCACGGTTCGCCTCAACGGCGCCCCGTCTGGCCTCTCCCCTGTCCACGTCTCCCTCCTCCCGGGGACACGGCTCCTTCCTCCCGAGGACTTCGTGCCCGCCGCCGCTGTGCCTTCGCCTGCGGCCGGGCAGCGCTCCTCCCTGCTGGGGACCTCCGGGTGTTTCACGCCTGTCCCCACGACGCGACCCTGCTTTCTGCGGCCCGCCCCCCACCCTCCGGTGGGGATGCCCTCGCCCTCGTTGGGGCCCCTACCCTCTCCTGCGGCCCCCTGACGACGGCCCGTTCCGGCCCGCCCTCCACCCTCCGGTGGGGATGCCCTCGCCCTCGTTGGGGCCCCTACCCTCTTCTGCGGCCCCCTGACGACGGCTCGCCCCCGCCCTCCGGTGGGGATGCCCTCGCCCTCGTTGGGGCCCCTACCCTCTCCTGCGGCCCCCTTCCGACAGCCCGTTCCATGGCCCGGCCCTCGCCGGCGGCCCCGCCCTCCTCGGCCCCTGTAGTGCTTCCTCCCGGACGCGAGGATTGTGTCCATGGTTGAATTCTGGGGGGGCTTGTGTAGTGATCACTGATTCATACACTGGGGTTACATAATTCAATCCAGGAACTACAGGTTGGGGGTATTGTTTCCGCACGGACAGATATGTTGACGGTACCTCCGGGGTACCTACTGTGTGTTGTCCCTTACACTTTCTCTTGTCATCTCAGCCTGCGACCCGACATCATGTCGATTTCTGCTCCTCAATAAACTGAGATTTGCACCTTCGATGCACCGCCTCCGTCTCCCTTCTCTCGGCACTACACTATATAAATAAAATGGCATGCCTTGCCTTGCCTTGCTTGTTAATAACGTTTTCCAATATTAAACAATGATAGCAACATGTACTTTGGGAAGCGTTTGAATCTGTAATGCCTTTTTCCTAACGGCCTAACCCTAATTAACATGGTTCGATTGTATTGGAGAGATAAGACGTTTCTGGAATACGGACCAAGAACCACTGATTTCAGCAGCCAGTGCATCCATATCCAAAAGCATTGATTCCCAACTTAGGGGTGCAGTTTTTTCTACACAAAACCATGTCACACATTTTCTCTGAAAATATCCAACCTTTGTTGCAAAATACTTCACCTTTAAGTCCTCTAAATAATTCAAATTGGATCATATTGTCTCATAAAAATATGGCTTAAGACTATTTGGCCCTCCAAAGTCCTCATGTTACTACTGAGATTGGCTCATGCTAAGCTCCACTCAAGCAGAACCATCTACAGCAAAGTGCATGTTCTTTCATTGAACAAATGTTGTCCCTTACGTATACGTCCTTGGCCTAGTTGTATCATTTGTTGATGTATGTAACTCTTGTGTGCTTCTTTTGTTTCATATGTACTTTGATCAAGTTCTTGTGAAAGGTCCTTGCTCTCAAAGTCTTCCTGTAATAATAATGATAGTACTAAACCTGTGACAAGGGGCCTTACAAAGACCAAAAATACTTTGTTTTAAAAGGACACAAGCTGATGTGGTATTGTGTATTCAACTTGGGACACAGAATCTAAAGTGAGCACATGCACAGAGAGGTCTGAAACAGTGCTTCAGTTTCACCCTGGCCTCAGTATAACTGCGATCCTATGATCCCTTCCCATTGTAAAGTTAAGAATACAACAAAAGCGGCAATAATCTTAGTTTTTACAAAAGAGTGTTAATTGGCACTAAAATACCTAAGATTGTTATTATTAATAGAGATGTGTCATTAACATATTTAACAGACTAACCTAGTGAATTGACTGACTTTCCCGCAGGTCTAAATTATAGAAGATGATGGTAATGATGACATTCATATCAGTGCAGTAACATTAATCTACAGCTCTGCCACCCCCAGGTAAATAAGGGTTAAGGCCCTAAGTGCAATGTAAAGGTACTTATACTTTCCTTGAGTATTTTTCTCTTCATGAGTTTGTTAGAACACTTAAACAATTTTCTAATATGTTTGCTGATATATAATTTAGATTTTTTTTATTATAAATACTTATTTCTACTTAATTAACATTTCCAATGCAGGACTTTTAACACAGTACTTTAACAGTGTGATATTTGTTCTTTACTTAAGTAAAGGATCTGGATAGGTCTTCCATCACTGCTAGAAAATGAGCAGTTCCTGTCAAAACATCATAACGATCATCATCCTCATCATCATCCCACATCTTCAGCAGCTCCATAACTTAAGCATACGTTTTGTACTTTCCAGTCTCTTCAGGTAAAGCCTGAATCCAAAGCTTGCATTGATGTGAGGCAAAGTTCAGCTCAGTCACTCACAGGTCGATACATCAGTTCTGCATGGAGCATGAGCTTTCTGTAGCTTTGTTCACGGGGGGATCTGTAAACTCTTCAGCAGTCTAAATGAAAGCTAAAACACAGCGACATGAAATAAAACGACAGAACCGCCACAGTCTTACCGTACCAAATTTTCCAATAGCATGTTCCAAACAGTAATTCCACTTTTGGCATCCCCCTGAAAGAAAAAAAGCTCCGAAATAGTGTCCAACGACCGGTAGAAGCTCCTCTGCACGCCTCTGCAGATCGATGGAGCAGAGCGCAGGGGTCCAACTCTCCTCTCTATCGAGGAGCGAGGCGGTCGCGCTCGAGAGCGAGCGCGAGAGGAGGAGAGCGAGTCTCGCTTCTCTCTCTCTCTCTCTCTCTGAGCGCTACTATCTCATCTCTCTCTCTCTCTCTCTCTCTCTCTCTCTCTCACACACACACACACAAACACACACACTGTTTGCCTTCGCTTTGCCTCTCTCGGTCCTGGGCCAATAAGCATGAAGTAATGGTGACAGCTGCGCTCTGGTACAAGAGTGCGTCGGGTCGGGGTGACGCTCCGGAGTCCAACACAGTCAGCAGCAGAGACCGATCCCCCAGGGAGAGGGAGGGTCTCCATGGAGGAGAGGGGCTGCAGGGTCCAGTCCGGGCTCAAAGGAATATGGAAGAAACTTTGACGAAACTCCAGATATTTCTATATATCTGATCCATTAATCCCTAGTGTGGTGGTTCATGCTGCAACTGTATAGGCTATGCAGAGTAATACTTTACCACTATAAACAGTAAAGACTGACCTGTGAGAAAGTTTGGAGACAGGCAGGAGTAAAATGCAATAAAGATCTACCAGAAACTACAATCTGAACACAACATGTCACCAATTCAAGGACAAAGAACTATATGCTTACTGAAGAGATGTTCTGCGTTTCCTACTGTCTTCACAGAAACACACAGTGATACATTGCATAAAGGAAAACCCATTTTACACAAAGTGTTGGACACTAGCTATGTTTCCGTTTAATTTAAGTTTGGTGATGAGTTAGTTTGTAGCAATTTGTTTTAAGTTAGCTGTATAAGCAGAGGGGGGAGAAGTACTCAGATCTTGTACTTAAGTACTGTAAACGTAAGTACCTGCAATCAAAATGCTACTCGGTATTGGCATCTAAACGTACTTAAAGTACCAAAGATGCAGATTTGTCCATTTCAGAACAATATATATGTGTTATAATGATTGATCATGAAAGTGTTATCAAAGCTGGTAAAGGTGCAGCTAGTTTGAATGACTTTATACTGCAGGGTAGCTTGTGAATTTACTCCAGGTGGAACTAAAGGATGATTTAAGAGTTGATAATATTTCACATCATTGATCCAAATCTGTAAAGTAACTAAAGGTATTACATTAATTCATGTCGAGAAAAAGTACACCATTTACCTTTACATTACCTGAATTGTATAAGAGACGAAGATAAAAGTAGCAAAAATTGTACTAAAGTATAGAACTTGAGCAAATCTACTTAGTGACTTTACTCCACTGTTTAAAGGCTACTCTTTAAGAATGTCTGCCAGTGAACAGAACAGGACATTTAAAGCCAAAAAAAAGAAACAGTTAAGCCATCCAACCAATTCACGAGAGATAATGGATAATTCATGAATTGGTTCATCAGCTATAGTATTCTCTTTGATCCATGCTGTCCAGAAACACACAACTTAATTTAATAAGAGTATTCCAATGCAAAGGAATATGCAAGAAGACAGCAAATGTCGAAGCAGATGTTTTGACCTGTGATTTCAATGTTTGCTCTGCTGTTTTCAGCGAAGATGCTTCCATCTTTACATCATGTATATCAACTATTTTCCAACAAGAGAGAAATTAGGGAAAGCCAAACTGACAAGACACTTAATGTAATAGATGTAAATGTTGGTCATAAGGCTTGCGCATTAGCTTGCCATTGTCAGTAGTCTGTGTATTGTGTATGTGCAAACTGATTATAGTTTAAGTCATGTCTTAATGTATTTTATTCTTTATGATGTATGTATGATGGACGAAATCCAAAACAAATGTTTTGGACAATAAAGTATATCGTATCAGATTGCGTCGTATTGTGATGTATCGTATTGTATGTTTTAATAATCTTTGTTACTCTCAATGATTTAAACAATTAACGATTGAGCAGAGGGGTCAGAGGTCAGGGGCAGCAGGTCAATGTTAAGTCTCATCGCGAGGATACATCGAGCCTCAGTTCTTTTGTTTAATGAAAGCAACTGCTACACATGCTACAAGTAAGCTGGACCATGAGCACTGTGCGTTCTGCTTGTCATTTGACATGCTTATAAATGCAAATGGGTCTTCCCAACAATGAGAAATCTGTTGTACTGTAGACCAAGGTGAAGTACTAAGGACACAGACTGATGACTTGTGTTATGAGCCGCATTGTGTCAGCCAGGCCTCAGATCTCTAAATACCCTTAGTTCTTCCTAGGAAGTGATATAAAACCTGAGATACCTGAGGCCTGCAGTGAGCTAACAGTGAGCGGAGCTGTGAGACAGAGAAGTGAACACCTCAGTGTTTTCCTCTCTTTCAAAAGGACAAAGCTGCCTGGCTGTGCAGAGAGCTCTCCTGCTGAAATCTGTCACTGCACTCCCGCTCTGCAGGAGATAAATACCTGCGAGATCTCTGTGCGAGGCAGCTATCAGCCTCCGTAAGATGTTTGTCTGCTCTGTGAGTTCGGATGAATACTGCAGAAAGACAGCTTATTTTCACAGGGCCGCTATCAAAACACATGAGGGCTTTTGGAAGGCTGCACTCTGCCGGGAACATGTTGTTCGTGGGGGGTGAACAAATCTGCCTGCTTTGAAAGTGATCTGTACATCCATCACCTCAGGGTAAACGTCCTACAAAGACCACACATAAACAGTCACAAACGCACACACACAACCACACACGCACAGGAAAGGGCTTACAAAGATATTCAAAGATATGAGCACAAACGATAAAGACTCACTCAGAGTTGTTTCTGAGTGGTTGTGAACCGTGTGTGTGGGGATGAAATAGTAGACACACACCTGCCCCTGGCACAGATTACCCAAAGCCTGTGATTGGCCGATGTGGCCCCCTTCACCCGAGGCCATGCTTAGCTGATCCTGCAGTGTTCAGCTCTAGTTTCAGTGCACCTGGACTCGGCCTCCATGCGGGTCAGACATCAGCAGGATGTAGACAGGTACGGTCCGGCGGGCATTCAAAAACACACACACTCTTTTGAACATCTGTCACATATGTTTTTTTGTTCTGTCGATTTTACTCAAATCTACATTTCCAGTTTAATTTTGTATTGGTATTTAAAGGTTCTTCATCTGCATTAAGATCCTTTCATTTTATTTGAAGAAACTTTGAAGAATGGCCTTTTAATGTGTCACTTAAAATAAATCCTACATAAATTAGGATAAATTATATTATAGGTAATTGAGCTGATGTTTTTATCCACATTTTAATAATATAGACATATCTTTGGGAATAATTTGGGGTTTTCTAATCTTGCCCAAGGACACATGTTGACTGCAGGGCATGGGGATCAAACCACTGAACCTCCGATTGGTAGAGGGCCATTTTTGTATGATAATTTCCTTTTTTTATTGTTTGCATCTTTAAAAGGAATCATTGTATTCCTTGTCCAGCTCCTTACAGGTGCAGGATGTCACATGTGTGGCTTTGTTTACACCCATCATGGTGTCTATCATGGTGATGTAATGTGATCCTGCATCAAAGCACTGAGGAGATCCAGGCTTCAGTGCCCGAGGATGAGCTTACCCAGACATTAAGCTGATGATGGCCTCAGTCACCTCCAGACCACACTGACATTACAGACGCTCTGTTTAGGTAAAAAAGTTAAAGTTGCGAAAAGGAGACTTCTTTTTTTGTGTGCATACAAACAATTAATTGTATTGGTTTCAAGTATAATCTTTCCCCAGTGTGTTTGCACTCTTTTCAAAACTAATTTTGCAATTAAACTCTCCAGGGTATGTCCCAATGCGATGTATGGCAAAATGCACTCTATGAGTAGCGGATAGTGCACACAAAATGTGTGGAACACTGGACGCTTCTCACCAAGCCCCCAGGAAGTGCGCCGGACAATGAAACAACAAGGTTTCCCTACGACTTTCACAAAATAGCGGGGGTTTTTCTTCTTTTAGCTGAATGAAATAGCCACTATGAACACTTCAATAGCCCTACATATTATTAGGTCCCAAAAGTCATAAAATGCACTAAAGGATGAATCAAGAGTCCTTTTTTCCTTCCCATTTATGACTGAGGCGAGAGCTGTTGTTACATGGTGGATTGGCTTAGCAAAAATGCAAGTTCACATGCTCTATGGACCCAATCAAGGATGATCCAGGCTTTTTCTGTTTTCTAGACTCTAGAGCCAAGCCATTTTGGCTTCATGAGCCACTGAGCATTGGTCAGAGCCTCCAACATTGAATATCTTTATCAATCCATGCTTCTCAACTGCAACGTGACGGAAGTTATGCGACCAGCATAAGTTTCTCCACTCAACACAACACTATACAAATTAAAGTTATACTTTTACACTATTTAAGTAACGTTCCACTAAATGCTGTCGAAAAGAAGTAAAACAAAAATTAAAAAACACAGATAGCGAGCTATTTTAAGAACACTATAATAACATAAAAAAAAAATAAGAAAATTCCTGTTTTATTTTGTATTCACCTTGTCTCGTTCCAGGTCCCTTTACTTCCTGCCTTGGTTGTTTTCCCGCCATCGGCAGTGTCTGCCCCGCCCCTGATTGTTTCCACCTGTGCCCACTTACTTCTTGTATATTGTCCTGTCTCCCCTTGTCTTTTGCCAGATTGTCTTTTGTCTTATGCCGAGCTCTCCAGCATTTAGAGATCGTATTCAAGTCACCGTTATAGTCTTTGTCCACATATTTAGTTATAGTAAGGTAAGATCAGGTAGTTGTATTTTTCTAGTTTATTGATTAGATTATTTATTGTATGTATTTTTTCTGGATCTGCTGATCCTGTGATTCTGGTATTCACCATATGTTTGTACTGGATCTATATTTCAAGTAAATACTCTTTTGTACTTGAATCCTGTGTCTGCCTCCGTGCTTTTGGGTCCACACCTAGTACCTCCGTGACACATGGCAGTGAACTTGGGGAAGTATCCGAATTGACAACATTTGTGTCTTTTCTGGTTTCACTTCCTGTCTTTGTAATTTCCCAAATTGAGACCATAGACTGGTTGAGACACAAT